GGCCGCCCGCGCCGCAGCCCGGCCGCGCACCCCGACCCCCCGGCACGCCAGGGATTTAAACGGACCAATGAGCGCCGCGTCACGGGCGTCGCCGCGGTTGCCGCGGAGACAGGGCTGCCCKCCCCGCTCACGGCCGCTCCCATTGGCTGCGCCGGTGTTGAGCCCCGCGGCCCCGCCCGCGCGCCGCCTCCGACCGTTAGCGGCGGGGGGCACGGAGGGGGGACAGACRCTCGCGCCGCCCCTCGTGTTTAACAACGCGGTTAGAGCTCATGGCGCAGCAGTAACTGAAGCCCTGCAGGTGCCTTTCTGCTGGCCTCCAGGCACCGAGGATAAAARGCAGGGAGTGGGGGCAGAGCTGCATGGACTGCAGGGCTGAGGGATGCTGCTGGGAGGTTTTTCTGCTTACAGTCAGGCCAAGGCTCTTCAAAATCAAGGCTTGCATTGAAGGCCTTCACAGGGCAGAGGGACAAAGCCACGAGCCACAGCAAGTGTGAGGTGGTTCAAAGGATGGAGAAGGCTGCAAAAAGATTATGGCACTGAGAGGGGGCACATGTTCACTAAGGTCCAGCCCAGATGAACGGCAGGGTTGGGGCTAGGGTCACATTTGTGACAAGGACAAAGCTCCAAGTTGCAGCTGCCACAGGGCTGCAAAGTGGCTGCCAAAGGAAAGTGTAGGCTACAACATTTCTCTGCCAAAATACCCACCTACTGATGTTATGGCTGAGAGTCTTGGTCTAAGACTGCAAAAGCTGAGGCCAAAGCCAAGGTCTAGGGCTAATGTTAGGAGATGAGCAAAGCTGAGATGTGCAGCAGCTGTGGGAGTCTGCACAGGCTGCCCAGGCAAGTGGTCRTGAGCTCACGTGCTGGCCGTGGCTTGGGGTCTCCGAGTAAGGCTTCCAAGGCCAAARCGGGGCAGGAGTTAGTAATACTACCTGAAACCCTTAACTGTAGGGCRCTTAAAGGTGAACATGATGTAAAGAACTGAAAGTCACTTACCAAGCCTTCAATATCCCACCGGGCCTTCTTGAGTAAATACCTGTCCTCCATATGATGTTTGAGCCCATAACTTCACCAAACATATCTGGCTATTTAAATGAGCATTTTTGTAAGCTGGTTTAAACTTTAGTCTCTGTTCCCACTCCCAGTTCTGTATCTGTTCCAAACACTAAGCTGCCAGACAACTGTATATAGATCTCAATCAAACAGCACATTTCTGGCATCTTGAAAGCAGTCTTGAAAACAGTCAATACAATTTGACCACTAAACGTGAAAGTTTAACATATCAATATGTCGGCTTTTTGGAACTGCAAAATAACACTATTTTTACACTMTAATTTTGGTGGGGAAATCAAAGTCAACATGATAATCCAATTCTTGTTATACTGTCCCTTTACCAGAAGCTTCTCAAGAGTTCATCCTGGCCACTAGTTCTGCATTGGTACAATAAAGAAGAATGGACAAATGGCTTGAAGTTAACAAAACAAAACAAAACAAACACTACTGCAGTACTATTGGATTTTAAGAGATATTGGTCTTAAATAAGGCAGCAAGATTTTCTTTAGGGAAGAATAATATATCAGCTTTTAAGGAGCTGATAACTTTGCAGAGATTGTATTAATGAGTATTTGTGTACCAGTATGAACAGTCTTCATTTATTTTAGACAGTTAGCTTGTTTCAAGGTAAAGGAAAATAAAATGTAGTAGGTATATTGTCATTTTAAAGATTTGTGTGGTGAGTGTTTAAAAAAAGAATCTGGAGTGATTCATCCTTTCCAAATTCTCCCTGTAACTGCAGCTGATAATTCTGAGCCTCTCATCCTTTTGTATCATTTAATTTGAAATTATACTGAAAGACTACTATTAAAACCCTAGTATATAACTATCTTCACCAAATGGGTGGGACCGAGTAGGATTTAAACAACATGTGCTATTTTAGGGAATATTTTAATAAAGGCATGATACAGAGTTTGTGACACGGAGCTGTAATTTTTCCCTGTAATGCTCATCACACAGCAGCAATCAAGTTAGAACAATGTTATTTTCCAAAGTATGTCAGGTTCAGCTCAGAARGGCCAACTCTGAAGTTATCCAGTCAATTTAATCTCCGAACTCTTAAAATTGTTCTCGCTTCTGTAGATTTTAGTCACTATGAATGAGAATTTGTTCTCTATAGTCCATAATAGTTAAGAGTTTCAATCTATATCATACAGAATTTGAAAGAGTAGCCCAAAATTGAGCATCCCTAGAATTTAGTAATTTTGATGTAACGATTTCTTTGTGCCTACCTGAAAGCTGAATAGTACACAAATCCCAGYGGTAGCTTAGTCTGACAATATGATGCTGTGACTCACCACAACAGCAGCAATTCTTGTTTGGGATCATCTATTTCCAAAGCTCAGGATAAGCTGCTTGATAAGCAKGGGACAAAGCCATCTGTCAGTTAGACCTAGGTAAAAAAACACATATAAAATCTGACTGCCTTCTAGAAGCGCAACAGAACTGTGCTCCACAACACCTTTCTGCTTTGATTCTCAGCTTGCAAGAATTCAGATTTTCCCCAGCTTGTTGCCCCCYTCCAAATTAAGAACACTACCTTACTTTGTAGATCCTTGTGGGGAACCACAAAGCTAGAAGTTTAATCAATCCAAACTAAATCTATTCCACATTTTACTGTATTACTTTTACATCAGTTAAGGGAGAATGGTAGATTCTTCTTTATCTGTCTATCTATCTGTCTGTCTATCATCTATCAACAGCATCAAAAAATCATTAAGTTCTAAATAAGTCTCATCTTGAACACTTGTGATGCATTTCCCATTAGCCTCAGCAGTGGCAACAACAGAAGGATGAGGTCCTAGCTCTGGTAGTSTGATACGAATTGTCTTCTACGAACTTCTCAAATGCAGTAACTGGAAACAGCTCGGATAGAGAAAGAGCAAGAGGGAAAGGCTGTTACCCTTCCGTGCTGTGTGTGCCCGGAGCTGCTGCATCGCCCGTTTGACAGCACATTAACACTGTAGGCAGTAACTGGAGAGCAGCGTTTTGCACATGCCACAAGCTTTCCAAAACATCCTCCTCTTCATTTAATTACTGCCTCCTAGTAAACGTTAGATAAATGAGCTAGACCTAATTTTATTTGAATGCCTCTCCTGTCTCTGATAGATAGACTTTTATTTGTGGTCTTGAGGCTGAACAGAACTGGCAATAAATGCCTGAACAGACCCCAAGCTCAGACAGGACCTTTTAGCCCTTAAGTGACCCGAGCCCATGTGCACTTGTTGGTGCAACCCACTACAGGAGCGTGGATTCAGCTCTCACATACTTGCATCTAGCTAGAGCTTCTGTGGGTCTCATTCATTCCTGCATGGTGTTCAAAGCACTATCAAARTATAAAATACAAATGCCAGCTCATAGAACCACAGAATCGTTAAGGTTGGAAGGGTCCTTTAGAGATCATCTAGTGCCACCCACCCCCCGGCACCTGCAGGGTCACCTGGAACGTGTAGAGTTCTGAGCACTGCCTCAGAATCAGGCAAACTCTGAAGGAGAACGTGCTGAGGRAGAAGCTCCTTCCAAGAGACTTTTTTTCCCCCTCTGTAAATGTGATTACCTACAAACAGCTTTAGTTTTTATATGTAATTAATATATATGAAATAGTTACATTCACAACAGAATAAGGAAACACCGCTGTAATTTGTTTATTGTGTTAGGGAACCTAACCTCAACCCTACTCATTCAAAACAAATACCAATAGTTTTTTGCAGACTTCACCCTACTTGCACCACTAGATATAGTCAAATATCTGTCAAGGTTTCCATTAGGCTTACAAATACACAAAATTAAAACTTGCCCATGCTTTGCATGATTTTTACTTTTTAATAAAAAATGAAACTGACAGGACAAAACAGCCAGCCCCAAGCCAGCCCCTACGCCTTTCATAATCACAGCACTGGCGCCCTATGTAAATCGGTGTATTTTTTTTAGGTAATCCTGCACATCATCAGCGCTTCACAGCCAGCGTTAACAGAGCAGTTGTTGCCATTCGTGGTGTCATCTAGAGCAGCAGTGAAGAGGAGAATTGGTGACATAACAGCAGAATCTGTTCCCCATCCCCGTTTTGCTCTTTTGCATTAAGTCCTACCATTATTCACTGGGAGATAATGGCTATCAATGCTAAGCTCGCAGCTCCCAAGAGGAAGGAGTAAAGCCTTATCATGCACGACTTAATGAGAGGAAAGGCTATGGAGATGTTCTGCTGGAAGAGCAACGTCTTGCATGAGATCACACATTGTTCTCAGGGAAAAAGTTTTAGTACACAACAATAACGAATGTTTACGTTTAAAGATGATTTCATGTTTTCACACAATAAACATACACTCAAAATGCATTAGTGAAATTAACCTACTATCCATGCATACACAACATGCAAACTGTAAATATTTCATTCTACATTTTTAACGAGACATTGATTTCAGTAACTAGCACAATTCTGAAAATCCATCCAAGAACAGCGACATTCTCCCAAGGGGTTTGTGGTACTTTGGTCTCCCTAAACCCTTTATCTGCCGTTACAGCCGACTGAATTTTTCATCTGTGACGCTTTGCCTTCTGCATCGCACAACCACCAAGTGACCATGTGAGATACTGGTATCATGTAACAGACCGGGAGGAAGAGTCAATGGCTTCCCAAATAGATAGTTAGCATGGAGTGTTTTAAGACTATTCTTAACCTTAATTTTTTCTTCTATTTTGTTATAATTTCTCAGGAATTCCCTTATCTAAGGGAATTGGGAGGTAAAGATGAAAGGCCTCATTTGCTTATTCTGCTACTAAACGTAAAATAAGTTTCCCTACAAGAGAATAATTATTAAACACCACTCCCTGTAACACTGATCTAAAACCAGCAATACATGGGATCAAGTATATAGTTAATAATTTCAGTAAGCAGGGCATGGTAAGCAGGACCTTACCATTTTTTGCTCCTCTTTTTCCCCAAATACCACACTATAGTGCACTGAGAAAAAGCAGATGAAAAGCAGTGTACTTGAATGCCAAGCGCTGAAAGGAGAATTTGTTAGATTTTAAATAATTCAAGTTTTGCTGAGACTGGCAACCTGCCTACATTTGCAAATGCCATTTGCACGTACTGTTATTATCATGGAAGTCAATTCAAGAAAGCAAGAAATACCTTTGCCTGAATCAGTAAAGCTTTTACATATTTGCTCCATTAAAATATCAAAAGCTGTGCCAGTTAAGTGTGACTGCTCATGCACTTAAAGCAAAGCAGATGCTGCCTTGTTCCACTGAATCATATTTGTCTGCTCAGCAAATCTAAAGTCAAGGGTGCACAGCTTTGCACACTCACCTTGCTACATTTAAGCTTTTCCTACTGAAAGCTGGTTACCGCTGTTCCATATTAGACAGTTCTCTCCTTTCATCTAGACTAAGCCTAAAGAGAAATGTTTCTATAACACACAACTCTCAGTTGTGTCAACTGTAAGTCTTATTAAAAAAAATCACTTTCTGATTGTACCAGTTCTCTCCTTTTCCTTAAGCACAGAGACTAATATACAGAAAAGCAATTTATGGTTCCTCTTTTACTGAAGTCTACACATCTGATCAGAATTAAGAGTTCTTCAGCCTTATTTTCACAATCAGTGGCTGCAAAATCAAAGAAGTGGGCAAAAAACAAACACAATTTCCTTGTAAGAAACGGAATTTTTGTGTTTCTATAGTTTTTAGCTTCTTCACTGCTTTTTAAAGCACATCTCTTACACTAAGATTGCCTTCATTAGCCACTTTCACAATTCCAAAGAACAGACCCTGTAACTTGAGAGATTTCACAGACCTCACCTGGAAGAGCCGCGTGCAGCTCAATCCTGGAATTCCAAGGTGTTGCATTCCAAGTTCCTTTTGTTCAGAGAAGTGAAAAACACACAGGCGAACTTRCATAACTGACATAACCAGTATTTACTGTTTCCTAGGTTATTGAATAAGCTGTAAAACACCACTTTTTAGAGGCAGTGACCAACATTAGCTCCAGCCAT